CCTTTTCGTTGCTCGATCTTGGCACGATGGTACATACATATCCTGCTAATACGTGAAACTGCCTCCCAACGGCCAGTCTGATCTCGATAAGAGGGGGAGGGTGATGGTGAGGGGGAGGTTATGTTTGGGCGTGCCGATACGTTTATGGCTGGGAGGTGGGTGTTGAGTGTTCGGGGGTAGGTGTGCGTGGCTAGTTTGCTAATGGTGAGTTGGTAGGTTTGCGGCAAAAGAGGCAGCGTTCAAGGCGCACCCGCATCTCCGGTTGGGGGTTCCACGATATACTCCATCCTGGCGTCCTTCAGATGCCAGGGAATTGGACGGGCCGAGATAGCGCTAAATGGCTTGGCCTCTTCTGCACCCGTGGCCCTGATTAGAGGGGATGGCGAGGGCGCCAGGGACCAGATGGGCCAAGGTCAGCATCAGCCATGATGGCGAGTACGCGACGGCTACGTGTATTGGGTTCGAGGCTAGCGGAGGGAGCCATGACCGAGGGCCTAGGAGACGCTGGTTCCCTAACTTCTTCAAGATATGGCCGTAATGGTGCTGGCGAGGCGGGGGCTGCCGTCGGGGTGGAATACGTCGAAAAGATACCCTACATCTAGTTATTTGGTGGCCGTGAGTCTCGAGTTGAGCATAAAACGAAACCTTGTGCTAATCCAGTTCCCTTTTTCTCGCATGAGAACCATTGCGAGCATCAAACATTTGAACTTGTCTAATTTCTCCATCATGGACTAAACTTCAACGGTTTACACGGGTGACGGCATTACTACTGTTGTCCATAAGTTTGAGGGCACGCCATGACAAGCAACTGGGGAGGGAATGGTGTATGTGATTAGGCCATGACTCGTCACCCTTCATCTCCTTCCAAGAAGGAAAATATTACGATATGAAAAAAAGAAAAACATGTCGAAAAAAGAAACTGGTCGATTGAAATGGGACTCGAACCCACAACCTCAGTCTAATCCTTCTGAATAGGAGGACCACACGCTACCATTGCGCCATTCAACCTGTTAATTTGTTATTGAGGGAAAACCATCAATGAATCTTATAATGTGCAAGGCAGGTGGTGAGTTGGAACAGGCGTGACCGTGCCCGCGCGCAGCGGGCACGCCAAAGGAGCCTGGAGGAACTTGCCGGCTGCAGGTAGGCCCCATAGCGGAGTCAACGATGTAATTGTCTTTTTCTCCATTTCATGATGGTTGTTGACGAATGCTGGGAAAGGAAATGTGGTTTCTCCAGTCAGACTAGCGTCTAATCGTATAGTCGCGCCCTCTTTTTTCCCGCTGTAATTAGACCTCTTGCTTCTGATTGACTCGGGAGAGGGTTATCGCCCGTTTGGTGGGATCCCAATGGTCCTGTTCTTTGGGGACTTCTTCTAGTTCGACCCCGTCCTGCAGACCAGCCTCCTCTTGCTGGCGCCCAGGGACTGTGGCGGACAGAGACCGGAAAGCTTGCCGAAGCATCTCGCAGCGCACAGGCTGTTCCTCCAGTTCACAACCGTTGTCATCCTCCAGGAGCAGGTCCGCGCGGCTGGTTGCCCAAGGCTTCGGGGCTTCCTCGGGCGCCTGCGCAACGGCGAGCAGACCGAGCTGGACTTCCAGCGGCTCAGTCAACGCCTTTATACACCGTCGTGCAAGGCGTCCTTTCGTAGACGGTCTGAGAGCCATCACGCCCCTGAACCAAGACCGGTGGGACCTGAACATGGGCAGCCGTCATCCAGTGGGCCTGTGCCTACGGCAAACACATCTCCATCTTTGTAGCCAAGCATGACACCGAATCGGCGAAGCGGCTGCGCGTCGAAGAGCTGGGCGACGTGCTCCGCCACGGAGACGACTCGCAGCTGCCAACCCCGGGCCTGTTCTTCTACGCGCAGGGGATGCCGGTCGTGGTGACTCGGAACCAGCTTATTGGGCTGAAGGTCGCCAACGGGGCACCTTTCAAGGCCGTCGACATCTTCCCCGATCCCGCCGCCGGCACCATCGCCCTCGCCAGCGATGTGACTCTTCATCTTGGACCACCGGTGGCCGTCCTCCTTCAGTCAGACGATAAGCGCGGGCCTCGTCCATCCCCGGGCTCCCTCAACGGCACCATCTTGATCAAGAGCAAGACGGTCGCCATCCCGAGCCAAATGCGGGGCAAGGAAGGCAGATGGAGGGGCAAGCCCGGTTTTCGGTGGGTCACCCACAGAACGGGACCTCTTTGTACACCGGCCTTCGCCATGACGGATCAGAAGAGCCAGGGAAAACAATTCTCGGACGTCCTCATCAACCTCAAAGGCGTCCACTTTGGCGGCACGGCGACTCGACCCAGCTTCATGAGCCTGTACGTGCAGCTGTCGAGGGCGCAGAGCTGGGACGGGCGGCATCTGTTTCGGAAACCGGCGCGCGGTGACTTTATCGAACCCAAGAAAGAAGCGGTTGCGTCGCTCTAGTAGTAATAGTCAACCCATAATAGGTGTCGACCCTGAACACCTCATTTTCGCCACTTTTTGACAGAAATTTGATTTCTTGGTTCGTGATTGTCGAGGATTGCGCGACGGAGGCACGCAAAGGCACGAGCGAAGCAGCGAGTCACAGGGGCCCTGATGCCAAAGTGCGGGTAAGCGGCTTTTTTCCAACGATTTGATTGGTCAGAACAAAGCAACAACGGTCCGTGCACCTCCACCGCCAAGACCAACTGCGAGATGTCAATTCGAGGAAGCAAAATGCAGATGACGCCAGACTTCAAGATGCTATCGAGAGAAATCGAAAGGAGAAAAAAGCCAAAATTCTGCAGTAAAAAGTCGACAGTACAGGTAGAAATGACACCGTTTTTTTTTTGAGTTTTTTATGGAGTAAAAACTGGTCCGTGCTTAGAGCAGGCCATGGCATTTTTGACCGAAGGAACCTGGAGTTCCTCCAGGCATATAGGTGGGGAGGTGGATGTACAGCACCTTTTACCGTCGTATTCAAGAGCAAAAGTCAAGCGATCTGCTTGATGGTTTGAACGTAACAAGGCTCAACCAGCGGGTTCAGGTTGGGTCAGCCGGGCAGTGGAGGATCGGTTCAGGGGCAGTTACCTAAACCGAGTCTGCGGGAATCAACCTCGGGCATAAGAGCAGGCGTCCGTGTTTGCAGAGATTCAGATGATGAGAGGGCTTTCTGCCATGGTGAAAGCACCTGGGTAAGGCTTAAGAGCCCCTTGAAGTTTGTCTGCTGATAGTTCGTTAGCTGTATGCCCGTTGTTGTAGGATGTATCTTGCACAATAAGCCAAGAGAACCCCGAGTTTCCTCTTTGGCTCCCGCGTGTTGTCTTTTCCCGGGTAGCTTATCTACTTGACGACTGGAAGCACATGTGCTAGCCCCAGCTCGGGCAAGCCGCAATGATGGGCGCCGCCGAGTCGCAGCGGGGGCTGTGGGCGCGGGACCTAATTGAGGGGGGCGCTGACCTCGCCCTCAAAGGCCCACAACGGTTACACGGCGCTGCACTACGTGTGAGACTGGGGGAAGGTGGAGTGGGCTGGAGGGTTTGGGTATGGGTGCTCTCAACGACCGGGGGCTGTCGCCGGCGCAGTGCCTCGAGATGCGCGGGGATGCATTGGGGGAGCTGAGGGGTGCTTTCTAAGCGTTGCAGAGGTCGGTTGCTATTGCCAATGGTGGGTGGGATGGTTGGCTGGAGGATAAGGGTGATGATGATACCGATACCTTTTTCGATGCTCAGGAGGGAGGAGACCTGGGATTTATCACAATCGGTTGATGCCGCTTAACCGGCTATTTAATACCCGGGGACACGACTGTATTCTCTGGGAATAGGGAAGTACTGAGCTGGGGATGTGCCAGGCAAGAATTTGCACCCATGAAATGCCGCAATTATAACACTGAACGCCGTCCCCAGGAATACTTCCAATACACACAAGACACCTAAATCACAATTAAGTATCATATTTGCCTTCACCATTTACCTTCATTTTAATAGAATGGACTCAACCTAGATCTAGGTATTGCTGAGTACCTAAGTAGTTCCCTACCCTGTGTCAGTACTACCAATAGTTGTGACGACTAGTGAGGTTAGTCAAAACCGCAATCGGAACATTATTCTGGGTCCCTAGAACCCCATATATTTCGATAGCCCAGTTCGATAAGTCTGTGTTGAAAATTGTGATCAACTTCGCATTTCGGACAATCTGAAATCAAATGCCCACACGTTTTATAGGTCTGTAACAGTTCCAGTTGTGTCTCCTTCTTCAGAAGCCCCTTGAACTTGGCCAACAGTTGGGATTCCTTGCGTGGTATGGTTTGAGGACTCGTAACTGGTTTATTGGCTGAAGGTTCTTTCAGTATTAAATTGTCACAATGGAGCATGGGAAAGCCCTTATCCCATACTCCGGAATACAACGTCTTAATTTTACATTGGCAACATAACCAAGTATAAATCTCATACTCGCCCTCGAATTCCTCATCTTGTTTTACATCTTGTTTTGGTAGATGTGGCATTGTGAAGAGTAAGATGTTTCGATGTAGGGTGTGCTTTACGACTAAAAAGCGCGTAGACGAGGGTGGCTTGAAAGTCTTAATCCAGAAGATTTATATAAAATGTACGGGGGGTCGAATACCAAGGAGGTGGTCGAACTAGCCTGGCAGGCCCGGTGGGAACAACAGAGAGCTAGTCAACAAAGTACTACTCGACAGAGGGTATTAAACAGGAGGATAGCCGACGAAGACCCCCCAGCCCTCTTATTTACCGACAAAGCTCTGATGAGACACGAAGGTCTTACAAAGGCGCAGAGCTCCCTCCTTTCCCAGGCCCGTATCGGGGATATAGGCCTCCGGGACTACCTGTTCAGGGTGAAAGTCCCGGAGGTCCGTACCCCCTATTGCGAGTGCGGGAGGGGCAGGGAGACAGTGGAGCACTTGGTGGTTTGGTGCCCCGACCCGCCGTTACAAAGGCCGTGGGACGGCAGAGAGATTCGGTCACATCGGGACCTACAAACCGTATTACGGGGAGTAGGTGCCCGGAGCAGAAGATTTGTTAGGAAGGTCCTTGGCTGGCTGATGGACTCTGGCCGGCTACTGGAGTATAGGCTGGCCAGAAGGCTGGAGCTAGAAACAGTGGATGGGGAGGGCTAGAGGGCCCGGAGGCCGGCAAAGGGCCTCCTTTCTTTTGCAGTATGACGGATTCATAGATTGTTGACTCAAAGTGGTAGACAGAGGTTTTTATCCGGCCTATACGGTACGGTTTCCTTTGTAAATAGCAGTAGAAGGACCGGCGCGCCCACGGGCATATCGGTGTAGGAAATAATAATAATAATATATAAAATGTACGATTTTACTAATATTTTTGCTTCATTGGACCATATATTAGCCCTTTGTTGCAGTCACCGTTTCATATACAAGTCTTTCTTAAGGGCCTTCTGTTCAAAGAACACAGCATGCCCATCGCCTTTCACGCGGCACCTTTATTGTTTCACTTGGAGAACCTGATGTTATTCGGACCACCCTTCTTAGATACCAACCATGGTTACTTGAATATCTACCTACATACATACCTAGATAATTAATTTAATCAGCCTTCCGGTTCTACGGATGACGAGGATAGGTGGAGTGGCGTGAACTGCCTTTTCTCCCCATTGAATCATGATACTCGGGAGACACTGGGCCGTTTCAAGTCCAGATAGAACGGTTCTCCAGGCCATCGGCCGTAATCATAGCGTGCCAAAACCCAAAGGGTGCATCTCCTCTCTCTGGGAAATTTACGTGTTGTTGGCAAGCCGGGATCCTCAACCCTTCGAGGACTTCTCTGGGGCCTACGCTCCCATCTTTGTCTCGTCGGCTCATAAAGCTTAGCTGTGCGGCAGCGAAGGCATACCAGAGTCCATTCACAATCTCGTCCGTCCCGAACATGCGCTGTTGCTGTGGGTAGCGAGAGTAGGGCTCGTTGGCCCACGAGGTAGAGACGAGGCTCGACTCCAACACGCGTACCATGATGGCAAGACGAGATCCTGGTTTTCGATAGTTCTATTGAGTCTTCGGTGGAGTTTGGTATGGATCTTCATCTTGCTTTTTTTTTTGGTCCGCTTCTTGTTCCTCTCGTCTTTTGTTGGCTGCGTCTCTGTTTCTTGGGTCTTGGGGAACCATGGTAGGTTGGATCAGTACCCAGCGCATTGGGGTCATCAATGGGTTGGGTTACACACCAAAATATAGGAAAGCTAGTGGCGTACATACACTGCGGCGCGCGGGAAAATAGAGCCATCAGATTTGGCAGCGCTGACTGACCACGGCACCTCTCTGATAAATGAACCGACAACCCCTCCCGCCCGTCCCACCCCTCCGATTCGTCGACTATCAACCCTTCCGGTGTTCCTGTCAGGACTATGCAGCTTACAAAGTAGGAGGCGTACCGCACACATCGTTCCATTGGATCCCCAATGCCACCCTGCCTCTATTTCCACCCAGAACACCTTCATTTCTCCGCTCGGGCCAGCATCCTGCACCTTCTCCCAGCTTCATCAATCTGCCGCGCAGGCACTCGTCCATCCTTGACCTTGTCCGCGGATACGTCACGATGAAGGCCTTTCCGAAATTGAGTCTGGTTTTGTCTCTCTCAAGCCTGGTGGCCGCGAGTGGTGGCATTAACAGCTGGGCCGGTTGGGGAGGGTCACACCTGAACAACCACTGGGCAGAGGGGAACCGCGATCTCAGCTCGAGGAGCATTGCCTCTTTATCACTGCACTGCAAAATCCCAGACCCAGTCGGCCAAAGCGCGCCGCCGGCTATCAGAGGCAGCTATGCTTACTACCCGACATACAATGGTTCCTTCATCGCCCTCAACTACAAAACATGCGAGATAAAATGGAATCTCAACGTCACACAAGTCATTGCCGACTATGCGCCCATCACACCCTTGCAGCTGCTGGTATCCGTCGCCGTGTCGAGGACATCGCCGCAGATCGACGCCGCCAACAAAATCCTCTTCTTCGGCACGCAGATCCACGCGCTCGTCGTGGCCGCGGACCTCGACACGGGCACCGTCCTCGGCGTGCAGCAAGTCAACCCACACGAGCTCGCCACCATCACCTCCAGCCCGACCCTCTACGACAACACCCTCTTCGTTGGCGTGTCCAGCGCCGAAGAAAACGCCGCCTACTTCACCAACGGCACTTACCCCTGCTGCAGCTTCATCGGCAACGCCGCCGCCTTCCACTTCACCCGCACCCACACCAGCGGCACCACTACCACCATGGGCACCACCCCGCACCGCCTCCAATTCACCACCCTCTGGAACATAACCACCATCCCCACCAACCTCCCCCCCCCACCCCTCACCCCCGGCGAAGCCGGTCCCCCCCTCCGCTGGTCCGGCGCCGGCATCTGGGGCAGCCAACCGCCGATCGACGTCGCCCGGCACCAGATCATCTTCGCGACGGGCAACACATATACCGTCCCCCAAGCCTTCTTCCACTGCGCCGAGGCGGGCGCCGACGAGCACTGCTTCCCGTCCTACGTCTGGCAGGAGTCGGTGTTTGCGCTGGACCTGCGCTCGGGCCGCGCCAACTGGGTGCGGCGGCTGGACGCCCTCGACGCGTGGACGCTGGTTTGTGGGACTGGGGATTTGCCGAGGAATGAGACGTTGTGTCCGTTTACGCCGGGGCCGGATGCGGATTTTGGGATGGCGCCTGCGATTGTGAGGGGTGGGGCGCGGGGATATGGGGAGGGTGGTGGGAGGAGGGATTTGTTGACGGTGGGGCAGAAGTCGGGTGTGTTGTATGGGCTGGCGGCGGATACGGGCGCGGTGTTGTGGGTCGGTGCTGACGAGCCCGGGGGATACGCTCGCGGGTTTGTCGTGGGGGGGTGGCGGCGGATGATGAGCGGGTGTATTATACCGGGCGTGAATAGTGGGCAGCAGGAGTGGGTGCTGCAGCCGCAGAACAAGACGGCCGTAAACAATAGTGTCATTGGGGCGGCGTCGGTGAAGGACGGGTCGTTGCTGTGGCAGTTTGCTGTGCCTAAGGGGGAGATGTCCTTGGTGATTCCGGCCGTGGTGGGTGATCTGTTGCTGACAGGGGGAACGGGACCGTTCGGATACATTTCGTCGGGCCCGGGCACCTTGATGGCAGTCAAAAAGGAGATAGGGGAGGTCGTTTGGAGTTATGAACTGGACGGTCCCTTACAGGGCGGGATCGCCGTCGAGGGCAAGTATGTGCTTCTGGGGACGGGGTATAAAGGGGGAGCCGGAGGTGCTTTCCATGTGTTCAAGGTGGAATAGGGGATGCCTTTGCGCTTCGAGGCTGGCGAAGGAGTCACCTTTGCCGCACTGCCACTCAGTTTGGATTTTTGTTTTGTTGAGGTAGCCATGTGTGACTGTTTTACTTCCGCTTCAGGGAAGATCGAGGTCCCGTGTTCGGGTTCCTGATAGCAAAGCCCTAGCTACCATCCCTTTTTCCTAGCTACTGACTGCTATGCCGAGTCACTCAGCTTGCTCCATCGTCGATGATTGTGGTTTCCTTTCCTCCCTGACTTACGTTCCGCCTCCCTCGGTGTTTGCAACAAGGCTCGATCCCTACCTTGCACCTCCCTCCTCCTGAGTGGCTTTATCCGTGTAGTTTCCGTCATTGTCAAGCCCAAAAAGCTTGATCAGCTCCTCTAGAGTGGGCATTTCCCTGCGGTCAACACCCTCTTTGAACACGTCGGAAATACGCTTCTCTTTTGCATCTTGCGTGTTTAGCAACATCTCGTCAATGCTGTCCCGGACAATGATTTTGGTGAAGTAGGTTTCCTTCTGTTGGCCAATGCGATGCACTCGGCCAAATGCTTGGTCTTCCATCGCCCTGTTCCACCACTCTGCGGCAGCAGCATGTCAGCCATCGTTGGGGACAGAGACGAGCGGCTGGAAATAGTGACTTACGATCGACAGAGATCACCCGGTTGGCAAAGTTGAGGTTGAGTGCTTGACCGCCGCAGCGGGCGGATGCGATCTAATCACGAGTTGGTTAGTTTTCACGGAAAAGCGCGGGTCTTTGGCATATCAGTATTACCAGAACTTTGATGTTGGGCTTCTCCTGGAAGTTGAGAATTGCGGCTTCCTTCTGATCTTTGGTCAAGTCGCCAAAGTAGTAAAGAAATGGGATCTTCTCTTCTTGCAGCATTCGGCCGATGATACAAGCTAGTTTGGCCCAGTTGACAAAGACTAGACGTGGAACAAGCCTTGTCAGTAAAGTTCTGCCGCGGTACCGCAGTCACCTACCGATAATCTTGTCATCAGGGGCCTCCTTCTGCCACTTCAAGATCTGGTTCTTGACGACGATCGTCTTGGCGCTACCCAACAGTCTTTTGTTGGGATAGCATTTGTCGTATTGTTCCACCCATTTGGAGCTGTCCTTCATCTTAGGCTGGGCCAGGTTGCTGTCGTCACCAACTTCGCGGTCCTCTTCCGTCTTCTTCCGCTTCTTCTTGGCTTTGGGGGCGTCGTTACCATCGTCCACTTGCACCCCAAGTATCCTGTCCGGTTCTCGAAGGACACTCAACTTCCAAAGCACAGTATTGCAGGTGGGGCAGCATTCCCTGACGTGCAAGGCGCCTTCGATGCACTCTGCGCAAAAGGTGTGTCCGCACTGCGTGATCATCAGTTATATGGCCTTGAGATATGGAGCTATTGGTCGAGCACAGGTGCTCACCTCGGTTATCTGAGGGTTGACGGGAATCTCGGAGCAAAGACGGCAGATCACCTCCTCCATGGACTTCCCGGCCTCCAATTCTTCAAGCTCCGCGTCCATGTCAAAGGCGTAGCCAAACTGACTTTGCCCAAATATTTCTGAGCCGGCTCCCGCGGCCCCGAGGTGGAGGCCGTACTCCATATCAACCCACCTCCGGATTTGAAGGTGCATCGGTGTCTTGCCACCGATGATTGAGAGCTGTTTCCGGATGTAGTTGAAATCTTCCAGAGTAAAGTTGTGCTTGAAGACGCCTTCGAGAAGAAACGGGTGGGCTACTGCCTGCCGCAGCCTAGTCAAGTATGCCAGATATGTCGTCACCCTCTTGGATGCGGTGCCGGCCTTGAGGTGACTGCTCATGTTATCCCGAACTCGGCTTTCCAAGCGCCTGTGGCTATCGTGATTAATGAGGGAGCCGAGGCTAGTAAAGCAAAAAAATACAAGGCGGTAGTCCTGGCAAAAAGAGAAAAGAAATGCGGGGACGAGACAAAGGAACGAGTACCGCACCTATAGATTAAGCGCTCTTCGACGGTCAGGTCTATTTTGACGACTTCAATGTTATTGGTCTTTGGTATTTCCATGATAGGAATGCCCAGAAAATGGTCATCGACCCGTCTATCAACTCATTAGCAAGGCTTGAGACATCTGGATGTGGGGGTGTATCTGCAACGTACCTCCGGAGCATGCTGCTTCGAATTACCACATCCAACCTCTCCCTGACGTCGTCCTGAATAGGCCACTGCGTCAGTGGACAAGATATATATTAAAAGTAAAACTTGAGAAACTGATACCTTTTCGATGTTCCCGAATTGCTTAGCGAATTCGGCAGGGTCCTCTCCCCAGTGTGCTCCGAGAAAGCGAAAATAGGAGCAGAATTCTAGAAGGGGTTAATCGCGTGAACAGTGACAATACCCAATCAATGATGAAGACCGGACATCATCGTTCACTCACCGTGAATAGAGTTATGCACCGGCGTCCCAGTCAATATCCACCGGTACTTGCTTGTCAGGTTAAAGCAGGCCTTTGCCGCTAAGATTGGTGTATCAGCATAGAACGGGTCGGATGGGGGTGTAGATTGGGCAAACTCTTTGTATAGTTGTTGCGAATCGCATGGCCTTCGTCCAGCACCACGCGGAAAAACCGATGTTTGAGGAGCTCGCCCAGGGCCTGGTCGTACTCTTCTTGCCATTCCTCGCCATCTCGCTTCTTCCCTGCAAGTTGCTTCAACACTTTGTTGGATGGCATTGCGTTTATAATTTCGTTGAAGCTCACGAGACTGTTTATTCTAGTAAGTAGTCTGGCGTTCAAGTTCCTGGAGACGGAGGAACTTACATGACGTCCGCCATTGTCCACATTTCTGGCTTGATTTTCTGAGCGGCTCGGTAGTGGTGTACCAGCCTTATGAAGGACTTGTCGCAGTGCTTGGTAATTTCCCGCTCCCACTGGTTAAGTGCAGTTGCCGGAGCGACTATTAGGGTCTGATGGCAGCCTGCCTTGACGTCTTCTTGTGTTGGGCGGTTGACCGACATGGTAGCCAGTACTTGGACTGTTTTGCCCAAGCCCATCTGGTCTGCCAGAATACCTCCATACGGGCCATTCGGGGAATACTCCTGACCGAGCATCCAAGAGACCCCAACCAGCTGATGGTTATACAGGGTTGAGATCATTCTGTTCCCTGCCAACCTCCATTTACTGTCCGAAGCTCTGACTTGGCAGTGGCCAAAGGATGCCGCAGCTTTCTCTAGCAGCCGCTGGTCATCAGTCTTGAGACGCTGGCCTGGGTTCCCCGTTACCCTGAAAAGAAAATCTTTCATGGCCTTGATTTGATCGTTTCTGGTCGTTGCTTGGATTGGCCCAGGCATCTCCATCTTGCCCTGCGCCGCTCTCGCCATGATGGGGTTGACGTCTCCTAGCATGCCCAGAAATTTGCGTTCCATGGCGCCGCCTGGCTCGCCCTGGTTCCCTTTCTTCGTCTTGTTGGTCGCTCGTTTTCGCTTCGTTGCCTCAACCATGTTGCGTATCCCCGAGCCTTTTTCAGCGTATTCGCGCTCCCAATACTCCTGAGCTGTCTTTGCTGGTCTGCGTGCCTTTTTGTCGTCTGTGCTAGCTGGTGGTACGAGAGTTGGCGTTTCTGTCTGCTGAGATGCCATTTTCTCCACGGTAGCGATCCTTGAAGTGACTTGAGCTAAGGTGATTCTTTCTAGAAAAGTGAGGTTGCGTTGGGTTTTCAGAGCGTTCAGTTCATCCTGTTGCGTATACATCTTCAAGAGTTCATCATCAGTTGGCTCTTGTGACTCTCCTTTGTCGCCGTCGTCCGGAACACCACCAGTTATCGCCTGTGTCGGGCCTAAGGGAAGTGTTTCCTCTCCTTTCCCCGGACCCTTGGGGGGAGCCCGACGACGCTTCCTAGGCCTCTCGCCATCAGACAAAACATCGTCCTCATCCATCTCAAAATCGGGATCGGCGTCATAGTCGGAGTCGGGAACGAGAAAGTCGTGGTCGGGGTCTTCAATCTTGATCTGCCTTGAACCAGTGCAGATAAGATCACCTGCCGCCTGGGGAAAGGTGCCGAACTGAAATTCGGAAAATTTGGCGTTGATGTCGGCGGGAATATCTTTGGCTTCGACAACCATGTAGTCGTTGTCATTGTCCTTGTCTAACTGAGCTTGAACTTGAAGCTGATCATGCCGACGCCCCCCTGCTTGATCTCCGTTGTCGACAATTTGGCTGTCGTCCCCGAAAAGGTCACTGTACTCGTCGCTGGTGTGGTCCTCTGCACGACCGTATTCCTCAGAACCAGAGCGGCCATCATCGTTGGTAGGCGCTTCCTCTTCGGCACCGTTGTTGATGTGGTCGCCGTTACGCTCATCCTCGCTTTTGATTTCAGTATCCTGCGGAACGAACAGATCGCTTTCGCTGCTTCCGTCACTCCGAGCGTCGATGTCGCCATTCTCCAAGTTATTCACATCGACTGCGTCCCAAGGATTACTGTGAGGGCCCGTTTGTTGATCGTATTGTTTTTGCAGGGCCGGTCCGATTGTGTCTTGGCCGGTTTGCACAGGGTTTTCATATAAAACCTGTTCCGTGCTCTCGAAGATCCCGGGTGGCTGGGTGGCAAGCGCATCTCTGTCCGAGGACAAGCCAGGACGGAGGCTAGACTTAGCCCCGAACGCAAGCTGACTCTGTACGGAACTGGGAGGGTTTCCCCGGGACCCTTTGATGCTTTTGGGCATGGTGGTGTTGGATGTGGTTTTCTAGTTTTGGAATCGCCTGAACATTGTGAGCAAACTGAGCGGACAATTTTACCCCAAAGTTATGGTATGGAGAGAACGTTTGAAGTTACATTCAAGTTCTTTGCTCATTGGAGACATTGAAGACCGAAGGAAAGAGTTCTCGTAGAACTTTAGCTTCGTAGCATCAATTTACACCCGCGCGAGCGAGGCGAGGCAACCAGCCGAAGCAGCACTTGAGGGAAGTTTGGATACTAGGCTGCGATATGGAAATGGGGAGTGGTGTTTAGGAAGATGACGGTTCCTGGGAATCGGTAGAAGTGTTGTGAAACAAAAAATGCAATAAATATCGAATAATTGGTAGGAAAGAAAAAGGCTGAGTGCCCTCGAGGAAAGTGGGATTCTTGTCGAGTTGAACAAGCAATATAATGGTGAGGCCCCTGGTAGGGAAATGAGTTGATCATGGGGTCGATCCAGCTTCGTGTTGTTTCTCGGAAATAGGGAAGCTGAATTTCAGAAATAGAGACACTGCTGGGTGAACTGCCTCTGACAGGCAGTGGTGGAAAGAAAACTCACCTCGAGTCATGCCTCTCCGCCCTTAGATAGGCGGTCGACTAGCTGTGCACGAAAGAAAAGGCACTCGCCGTGCATGGGGTACCGGTAGGGAATGAGTCAGGGTGACGGAAGATCTTATTTGTTTGCGATTGGCGACTTGGAGTGCCAACCATGGGCCTGTGAGGTCGTTGGAGCAGGTAAACTCTGGGTTTGTGTTGGATCGTGAGAACGAAGAGAACGAAGGCAACGGATACGCGCAAGAATGGAGTGGAACATGTGACAGAGGAGCAAGCACCTTGTCGGTTCCCTTGGCCTGGAAATGCACTTTGGTAGTGGTTGCTAAAGAGATGGTTGGTGATGGGAGAATCCCGTGTTTCTTTTGGCAACGGGAAGAGCACCCGAATGCCACGATTGCTTCCAAGTGGTTTCAAAAATGTTTGCAAGTGCCCCTGAGATCGCGACCTTGGCTCGGAAAAAGGAGAAAGGGCGAAACACCAGGCAGGAAATCGCCATTCAATCGGGGGGCTTTTAGTCTCACGATAGCTTCTAATGGTAACAATTTAGAGAGGAATATGTGCATGCACAGGTCTAATAAACTCAAATTTCCATGGAAACGAACGGGGAAGGAAGGACCTGGGGACGGCGGTAACAACAACGACTGAATTGGGCACAGTCCGGCAATATTACCGTCTACTTTCTTTATTATATGCTTCAATTTAATCCGATAGACTGACTAAAACAAAACAGGTCATGGTATGGCCTGAAAGTTGCACTGAGCGGCGTTCGTTGCTTTACGTAGTCCCGCGTTCTCGCTCTTCCTGTTATAATTTAGCTCCCTCCTCCCTCCCTCTCCCCAGTCACCATTCCAATCGAAGGCATTCCTCCTCCCACATCTTGTGCAACCATCCATCACGCACAGCCTTTTACGTTGAACCCGCCATTCGCCGGAAGGCATGAGGGCCCAACTGCAATTGTACCCGATTTCCTGGGTTTAGATGCTCTTGTGGTCCACGTAATTTTCTCTTCACTCCTCATTTCTACAATTTTTCCTTCGAGCCTCAAGGAACTGGCAAGACCTTGTTAATTTTCATAGATCGCTATACGAACTAAGGGGAGCCACCAGACTTGGAGCCACATTATTCTCTCCATCCAAGCACCCTCTTCACGTAAGTTTTATGATCTTTCTCCTAGATCGAAACCGGGGGCCGAAAACGACTAATTAGCATGCGGTCACACCGGCTATTGGTCTTTTTCGCTCTACTTGTTGTAGCAAAATGCCTTTCTTTAGCGCAATGCCGAACAGCCTGTCGACGGGGCGACGAAGCGATGGAGAAAGTGTGTCGAGGGCTTGCGCAAACGCAACTTAAAGCCATCTGTTGGGGTGCAGCTGTTGGGCTCAAATATGCAAACATGGCCGGAGCTTGCCAGAACGCTTGCTATGTTCTTACAGGGTGTTAATATCACTCTCGTGTATGTCTGTGAGGCAGTCGAAGAGGGTAAACCAAGGCATCAACTGCATATATCCGATATCGAAGGTTCTCAGCGGAGCTAAAGTATAATTAAGTTGGGACACTTTCATCTCGCTGAGTGGTTGTACCATTATTTTGGGTCGTTGGCCTTTTGGGAATAACAACAGACGATTACTCTCCAACATTTTACAACAAGTAGTTAGTTAGTTGAACTGAGAAAATATAAGTTGAATGGATTGTTGATGGGGCCCAGACAAGAACGTAAACAACGGTGATCCGTGCAATCACCCTCGCATCTTTCACCTATTAATGGACTGCGCTTGGGCATTAAAATGGCATTGCACGACCTAAACTTTTACATGAACGTCACCCATTGCAGTACACACTCCACCAAACCACAACTGCCTGACCTAATCCAGCTCCCCGGTGACATAACCAATCTGCCTCCTGTCCAAGCCCCCCGGCCCATTGGCCAACCTCGCCGCCAGCGCAGTCTGCCCCTCGACCAGCTTCTTATGCTCGGCAATCCTTTTAACCGTTCTCGCATCCGACGCGGCATCCAATCTCTCAAGCGCCTCACGCTCCCTAATCCGGACGCCACTCAGCGCTTTCGCATCATTCTCCCGCTGCCGCGACATGTTACTCTCCCACTTGAGCAAGCGCTCCTGCTTCTTGTTCTCCATCTCCAGCTCGGCCTCGGCGACCAGGCGGGCGCGCGTTAGGCCCGCCTCGGTGAGCCGCTGCTCGTGCGTGATGGCGGCCTCGCGGGCGGCCTTGCGCCGGCGCAGCTCCGCCGCGAATGACGCTTCTTCAGCGGCCTGTCGCTCGCTCAGCGCAGCCATCTCGTCGTCTTGCTTCTTGCGCGCGCGCGAGTCTTCGAGCTGCGCGCGCTGCACGAAGATCTGGTTGTGGATTTGGGCGATCTCCTTGGTTCGTGCGAGGGCGATGGCGTGCTCCTCGCTTTCTTTGGCGAGGCGCTCTTCTCGCGCGCGCCGTTCGCGCTCGGCGCGGAGGAGCTCGGGGGGGAGGTTGACGGCGTCTTGGGGTTGGGGGCCGTCGTTGGCGTAGTAGACGTCGATGGCGCGGTTGGATTTGAGGAGCTCGAGGAGTTGTGGGCGAAGGTCGTCGGAGCAGGAGAGGACGCGGGTGATGTATTGAGTTGCGGAATATGTGTAAGTTCCATCGCTGTAGTGGTTGTAGCTCTTGTTGGCATGCTTCCAAAGGCCGACTCTGAGGAGGGCTCGGGTGGTGGGGATGGGGTCGGCAGAGTTGAGCGCGAGCAGGAGAACGGATTTGCCGTCGGATTGAATGGTGAGGTCCGAGCCTTGATTGATCAGAAAGGTCATGACCTTGTCCATTTGCTTCTCCTGTGCGGTTGTGATCGGGCCGGCGTGGGCGGCGTTCAGGCAAAGCTCGCCGAGCGCGCTGCGGCCACCATGCAACGTGCTGGGGAAGTCCACGTCATGACCATACTCGATAAGCACTTGCATTGCCTTGAGATTAAGGTCTCGGGCGGCGTTGTGCAAGGACCCATCGTTGATGGACGGGTCGGCAGCGAGGATGCTTGACATCAAAGAAGTGCTGAGATCTCCACCAATCTGCGTTGCCATCGTCATGGGCGTGTTACCAGTCGCGTCTGCCACGTCGACTTCTGCCCCGGCCAGAATGAGCGTCTTCACCAGATCATGCCGGCGGCTTTGGATAGCTAACATGAGTGGGGTTGTCTTGGATACGGGTGTTTCGAAGTTGACTTTAGCACCGCGGTCAACGAGGAGCTCAATGACCGCGTTGCTGACCCGCTTCTGCGGTTGAAGAAGCGCCCAAAATAAGAGGCTGACTTGTTCTTCCTCGACGTCATCCAGAACTTGGACCACGGTTGTCTGGTCGTGGTAGTAACCGGCGTCAAGGAGCGCCTGCAGGATCTTGACCGAGCGTGGGAACTTTCTCAGGGCCCGGAATACCACCGGCTCAGACTCGGGGTGGGCAAACATCACATCGAGCCTTTCTCCTTCATTGTGGTAATCGATGAACTGTTCCACAAGGGTCAGGCAGTCCGATTCTGACAGGTCCGCGTCAAAGACGAACGGAAATGCCATTGAGACCGCGTGGGAGCTTGGCTTCCGCTGACAAACCTGCAGGATGAGTTCCGAATCTGCCCTCCGAGCTGCTTTTTGTAAGACCAACCCATCCTCATGATCGACATCGACGCTGCCTTGAAGAAGTATAGTAGCAAACCTTCGGGCTGTGTCGTCGATTTCCGACCCACAAGCATCGATGGCGGCGCTCAAAGCTAGAGCGAGACTCTCTCCTTCCGCCCCCTTTTCTAGGAGCATCCTTGCAACCTCAAAGCCCTCTTCCGTTAGCCATTTGGAGGCGGTTTCTGGCGTAAAAGCCTGTTGAAATGCCCACGACACATCCTTTGAAGGAATGTCAGCCTCCAGCAAAATGGCTAGAATATCGACCAACAGCAACGAAGCAGCATCGGTCAATGTCTCGCAGCCGTTAGCGAGGGGCGACGCCCCATGTTTGAGAAGCAGTTGCACGAGCCTCGGGTCTGGCTCATCCTTGACAGCTCTGTTCAACGCAATGTTGATCTCCTCGCACGGCCCCAGTCCCGCTTCGAACATCCATTCAATAACTTGATACCGCGGATCTCTGCCGAGCTTCTTGCTTGCCTTAAGAGCCCGCAACAGCGTCGCTTGTGATGGTGCCTTCTGCCGGTCACCCGTCGTTTCCACACCAAGCATCAACTTGAGACTCCCCATGATAGCGCCACGCGTTGCGTTCCAGATCGCCTCGCCGGCATTGTAGTCGACGCTCGCGCCAAACTCAAGCAACAGCCGGACCAGGTTTTCCTCATTCCTCTCCAACTTCGCCGCTGACACCAACTGTGCATCCACAGCCTCCCCGTCACTCCCTTCTCCAGCAACAGCCGGAAAACCGCCGCTCTCTTGCCCAGCCCCCCCACCTGCGTGGCCCACCTGTTAAGCGGGCCTTCACCAACGTCGCCATCTTCAACCTCAGCCCCCCTCTACCGGCAGCATGCCCAACACCTCC